ACACCCCAATGTGGGCAAATCCCACATACAACCCAGATGCTGGCAGTGTAAGACATCAGAAGGTAAAAACGTGTATGTTGACAATTGCTATGCTGCACGGCTCCACTATGAAAACTAGTAGATGTACGGCTTGAAATTTACTTCATTGTGGTCTGCTTGTGCCAAGTCAAAGAAAGGGGCTGAGAGGAAGATGTAAAACCACGCGAGGAGGTTTGTTTTACAGTTAAATTGGTTAATTTAGTATGTTACATGTACCTTCAGCCCCCTTAATAGATAAGCAAAGCTAATTTTCACGTTTGCTGTACACACTACACCACTTAATCCCTCAAGCTCATTTTATGACCAATTTATGTTAACCACTTGATGCAGCTCAGTTTTTCTGTCATATTAGCACTCACATGTAGCAAATGTGAACTTGGGCAATGACTGATTGTCCTTTTCATGTCTAAAACCTCATAGAAATGCACAGCACAAGTGTAATGCTTTATACTTTTTAAGCAACATGTGTTTCCTTGAAAAATAATTAATTTCAACCAGAAGTAGGTAACCAGAAAAAAACTGATGCGTATGACCCGGGTTATAAAAAAAAAAAAAAATCCATAAAAAGCTCTAAATAGCAACAACAAAGAAAGATAACTTCTTCCTAATCTTCATATATTTGTAAGACTGTTTAATTAATAATCAATACTACAAAAAAATAAAAAAAATAAAAAGTGTTAAAGAACCATTCACTGTGGTAAATGTATACTTTGTCAAAATTCATATTTCTCACTACTGTCACAGGTTCTTCACCCACTGCATAACATATCTGTGAAACAAATCACTTATCTATTTTATAGATGAGAAAAATCAAACAAAGATAAATAAGTAATTTTTCTAAAGCTATAATCATCTATAATACAGAGATCACGATACAGACTCTTGTGATTCTGAAAACAAGAAAGCAAATGGAGGAGCTAACCTCAGCCTCCATATCCCGTGGTAAATCAGAGCCATACCTTCATACTGCAGGGTGCTAATACCCACATCTTGCAAGGCTGCAGGTGGGAAGATGTGCCACTACAATAGATGATGAGCTCTCATCCTCGGATGTTGCTGGCCTTGCCACTTGAATACAAAATGGACACAAAGAGGAACTGAAATGTCAACTTCAGCCTCAAAGAAAAAAAGGGGAGCTGCATGGGGCAGATATAGGTCCAGAACTGATATTGCACAAGGACGTGAGAAATCTGTTCCTTGCAAAATATCCAGATCCTCCAGTGAGCTGGAGGTTAAGACCAACGCTGCAACTTATCTGATGATTTTGCAAAATGTGCAGACAATTCTAGGCTAAAATGACTGTTTTGCTTGACAAGAGATGCAGACACTGAAAGTGAGTGAGCAAAATACAGTAACTACAGACATAGAGAGTTTATCAGGAAGCATTCTGGCTTTTCAGAAAACAGTTTTTATAAATAATGCCAAACGTTTATGTAAAGCAGATATAGGGAATCTTTGGCTGCTTTCTCTTGTTGAAAGCAACTGCAGGTAGGCAAAAAGTAAGCCCTAGTGTGGTTCTGCATCACTACCACACAGAAAATTTGTCTTATTCCAAGGAAATAAGCGTATCACTCTTAGAAAGCCAACAGATGTGGTTTCAGTAGCCACAACATCCAAAGGCAAGCAGAACCAAGACTCCAATGCAGTGCATGAAAACCACAAAGCTATGAAAACTCATCTTTAGTCTTTGGGAAAAAAAAATACTTTGCATTGTATCACCAGTATTCAATGTAATGTTTAAAGGATACGCAACAGGTTGGCTTTGTTTGCCACTCTGCACGATGCTGTGTGCCTCCAATCTTAAAAGCACCCAGTGATATGAAGGGCTGCTGCCTGCAGAGCACATGCCCAGGGGAACTCAACAACTGGATTACAACACCCAAAAAGCAGCAGATCACCCAGCCCCAACACCCAGCCATGGGCAGGGCTGCCCCTCTCCAGCTCATGCTGCCCAAGGCTCATCCAACCTGGCCTGGAGCTCCTCCAGGGATGGGGCACCACAGCTTCTCTGGGCAGCAGTGCCAATGCCTCACCACCCTCTGAATTAAGAATTTCTTCCTCATTTCTTCATAATGACAGCAAGGGTACCCTGGAGAGTGCTTCAAAGACAGGCGGAGATGTTTTAAGAATGAGATCAAACAAGCATCTGCCCAGAAGGGCACGATCATGCCTTGAGACGAGGCCTGGTGACAGCCCAAGGCCTGCTCCATGCCTACAGAGATGCAGCCCCTTGGGTGATGCAGCCCTCATCCTCCCCATGGGCCCTGCATGAGATCAGTGCTGCAGGACAACACTGATTTAGGAAATAAAGCCTATCATTACTAGCCCTCCCAAACTGTTCCCGCTTTCTTCTTTCTTTTTTCCTTCACTGCAGAATTACGGCAAAAAAGCAAGATAAACAAAGATGATGAGATGAAAGCCACAAGCTAGAGTATGAGAGATTTACTTTATCCTCAATGTCAGCAAACTTAAATACATCTGGGAGGAATCAGGCATATTGACATCTGAAAGGTTTGTTCATCTGAGTTCACTTCTATAGCAAATTTTCTGCTAGATCCTCTTGGAGAAAGTCAGAATGTAATAAACAGAGTTATTCTCTGTAGGGTTATTGACAAGAAAAAGAAGAGTCATAAGTAGTATTGATTTGGGGTGAAATGGTAGAACGCGACAATCAATAGGGCTTAGTCAGACAGAAAATAGACGGAGTCATGCAAGTCATGACAGGGTTGTTACAGGAGCCAAATTCTCCAATCAGATAAAGACGGGAGGAAGCTATAACTGGGATCCAAATGTAAGCAGTGGATGGATTTATAGAAAAAAGCTACACCATTCATTTTTGTTATTAATATGCAAGATGCTTTTTATTTTAGCATATTGCCAGTGCTGTTTTTCTAAAGCTTTCGAAACAAATTCTTTCCACCTCCATAGTATTTTCATTAAATGTCATCGGAACTCTTTTCAAATCTCTGCAAGAAGTATGATTATCCTTATTTAACAGATAATGAGAAGATATAAAGAGACTGGGGCCACATTTACCAAAGCAGTCAGTAGTGCCGTGTGCCTTCTATCTGCATACACAAGCCTACAGAACACAAGTCCTGAAAAAACAACAGATGCAAAGGTCCAAGGAAGCCACAGCTTTGGTTGGTGACAGCGACTGCTTGGAAGTCCTCAAACTCTGGGTCACAGAGTGAGGAGCCAGAGCTGAGCCTTCGCAGGGAGCCTTCACAGGTACAACAGGGCATAAAATAGGAAGAATCCCAATGTGCAGCTCTCTGTTCTAATTACAAAAGTCATTATTTTACCACGCAGATGATTCAGGGTGAAAAAACACCCTGAACAACCATATATTCTATCACATGAAAGATCTGTACACTTACAGGTATTTATACAGCGCATAACTTCCCAGTACAACCCCACAGAAAATAACAGCAGTAATAACTTAGAAAGGGCAGTGAATCTTTCCAAGTGGTTATTTTAGCCATGCACAAGCATTCAGTGTATAACCTTTCCCTAGACTCTGGGCAAGATTTTAGTCTTGAAAGATCCTAAAACACCTTACAAATGTGGTTTGATACAGAATCAGCCACATTGCCAAGGTGAACGGCAGCAGTGTTAGTAACAATCAGCATCACGGAAGAATTTATAGCAGGCTGTGATGAAAACTACTACATCCAAGGGAGACATAAACTGCATCTTGAGGAACCTCTTGCGCTGCTCAGCCAACTAAATGCTGTCAAGCAAACTGCAGTATGCACACGGCTCTGGGGAGAAGGGGGTCCTTGGGCCACCCTGTTTTATGAATGGAGCCATAAAAAGGAAGTCAGGGAACACAGGAACTCATCCGACTGTAATTGCGAGGGATGCACAAGAATGGCATCACCACACTGGAAGGCGAGCTGGTCAGGAAACCGTGGGAAACACACGAGCAGAAAATGCCACTGATTTCTAAAGAGGGGTTCTTAGAGACTGCAACAGTTTAAAAGCTTGTTTAGCTGGAATCACATTTGCAGTCATGGGATTTCTATTGGAAAACGGCATTACAGTCCTGAGAGAAAATTACGACCAAATCACATCAGAAGGAGGATGAACAGGGCGACCTCTCCAGGTCCTCATCAGACATATTTCAGCAGTTCTATGGTCAGTGGCAGAAAACGCTTCAGAATCGGAGCTGCTGGGGCTTAGGGATTCCAAACTCTCTGGCATAAGAAGCAGCCCGTGCAATTTTTGTATCAAACTCTGCCTGCCATTAGCGATGCGATTCAGTCACGAGCTGTCTCGTTCCCCCAGTACAAAAATGTATCAACATGCCGGAGTGGAAATGGGAAGCTGCTCTCGTTATCGCAGCTAAGTTCATTCTGCAGCGAAGCAGTTTACTTTAAGACTTTTCCCGCAATCCAAGTCTAATTACAGAATCGGTTTCAAGCAATTTTGTAATTAAATGTACCTGCTCAAAATATCTCAGAGGCTCAGTAGTTTAAAACGATAGCGTAAAAATGTAATTAAAATGAAAAAGGCCAACTACGGCTCGGTCCTTCCTCCAGGAGGAGAGCGCTGAAGGACGTTCCAAGCGTTCCTTTTTAGACCCAAATCACCTTCTCCCACACCGCGTTTCCGCTCGGGGACCGGCACCGAGAGCGATCAGAGGGATGTCCGAGCGGCACCGGGCTGGGGGAAGGCTATTTAAAATAATCGTGCTAAATAATAACAGAATCGCGCAGTACCCACGCGGGGCTCCGCTCCCCAGCAGGGACCCGCCTGAGGCTGCCTTCTCCCGGGGGGCGCACGCGGGGCGACCCGGTGGGGGGATTCCCCGCTCCGCTCCCCTCGGGGCCGCACGGGAGGAAGTTTCCCCGCTCCTCGCTCCCTCCCCCCCTCCCCGGTGCCGGGGAGCCTTCGCGGGGCAGGGGTTGGCTCAGCCCGGCTGCCGGGCAGAGCGGGGGCCGCCGCCGCTCACTCACCGCCCGCCGCCGGACCCGGGCCGAGGCTCAGCGCCAGCCGCAGCCAGAGCGCGGCGGCCAGCGCCCGCCGCCTCGCCGCCGGGAGGGCACCGCCGCCGCTCGCCTGCTTGCCATGACACATCTTCTGCCCGCCGCGGGCATCCGGGGCGCCGCCGCCGCCGCCTGCAACGAGAGAGCCGCGCCGCGCCGCCGCCTCGCCGCTGCCCGGGGCTGCGCGCCGGCTCCGCGGGGCGCCCCCGCCGCCGCCTCCGCTCCCCGCGGCGCCGTCAGCGGCCCCGCGCCGCCCCCCGGGGCCCCTCCGCCGTTGCGGCTCGGCGGCACGCAGGCGGGCGGCCCCGCGGACGCGCGCAGGCACACGCGCGCGCGGCTCTGCCCTACCTGCGCGGGAGGCGGCGGGCAGCCGCAGCGCGCACCTGCCCGGCCCCAGGGAGCCCGGCGCTGCGGGACCGGGCGGCACCGCCGCCGCGCGTACGCATGGCTGCCGCGGGGCTCCGACCCCGAGGGGGTCGCGGAGCGGGCGGCCGTTAGAAAGCGACGCCCGGGCGGATCGAGTCGGTCTGAAATTCACCGCCGCGCAGCAGTGAGTCAAACGCTGTCTCATGGCTACGGCGGCGGTGGCTGTTTCCTGCTGCCACCTACAGCGTGCCGAGCTCGGGGCATTTCCCCGCTCCCCGCCCGGCGTAACCACGGAGTCTTCCGGGCAGGGAAGGACGGGACAGCGACCGACCCATGCGGGATCCCAATGGAATTCCACCCCGATGGAATGGAGATCAACTTAAAGGTCGCAACGAGAACGAGAGAAAACACGTTAATGACAAAACGTCCCAAAGCAAGGCCGTATCCAAAGACGTGTGGGCTCCTACCAACAGCCCTGTTGTGGAAATTGCATACCTTGATGCTTTGGAGTGAATATTCTGTGCTGTTACAAGTACGCATAGGGCTGGAGTCCCATTTGAGTTTCAGCTACCTTATGCTGGTTCCTCCAAGCTTAAACTTAAAGCAGTTAGAGAGGAATTTGAGCTCAAGTCAGTGCATCACACATCAGTTAAAGAATAGTGTAAGAAATGTAGTTCTTTATACTCTCCCCTGGAGAGAATGGGCATCTTGTACGGAAATACAGGTCTTCCATTAAGGAAGCGAAAGTATGTTGCTAATTTTCAGCCTAGTGATTGTTTTATCACTTTGCTGCTCCTTTTCAACAGGAGAACATGGAAGCTGTAGAGCCTTTTCACCCGAACACAACCAGGTGATTTTCATCTCCTCCGCCAGCCCAACAAGGTTACTGATAGGTCACATAAGCTGAGCAAATAGGACACAGGTGCAATTATGTGATGTTGATGCTTCTGAGGCAATAAGCTGCTGGCTACTACAGGTGGCAGGACTGAGCAATGAAACCAGCATTTCTGTTCTATGGAATAGGAGACCCTGCTCTTTATGTCCCTGGTTTAATAACTCTGATTTTTTAAGTCAAAATAACAAAAGGCAACGTCCCTAACAAGGTGGCACCACTCCTGTCTCACGCGAATTAAAATGCAAAGATTTCAGCGTGGATGGGGGCACCCAAATACAGACTGGAAGAGGAGGAAGAAATGGGTGAAATAATGCCTGTGCTGATAGATTCTACTTAACCCCTGATTCTGCAGTCGGCTCCTTCACCTGGGTGTGCAGTTCAGGATCAAAACATGCAGCCAAACAGATCCAACCCCAAAAGCAACCCCTCTCTCCAGGCCAAGTAACAGAACTGCACAGAACCAACCCCACTCTTACAGCATTTCAGCTAGAGTCTGCTCACAGGCCATTATATCATGACAGATAGGTGACTTGGCCTTTTGGTATAAGATAATATTTGGCAGGCCTGAGCCTGCGCAGGACCAGGGCTGTGTGTGACTGGCACCAGCAGAGCACTCTGTGTGCCAGCCAGCTCAAGCTTTCCACAGAGCAAACTGTGCAAACTAGGTCAGGCTTTGCTCAGAATAATGTGGTCCTGCCCGTATTTGTTGGATAACTTCACAGAGCTCTCATCCAGAAACTGGGAAATTCCGTGGTCTGAAGGATTCCAAACTTTTCCCTCCTAAGTTTTGTCAGAGCATAGATGCTATAAGCACTGCAGCTGCAACTGTGAGACGTATATGAGAACTTCAGACAGTTCTAGAATACTGTCTCATTTTTCTGTATTATTATCACAGCATTAGTTCCAGCTGCCTAACATTTCCAAATCTGGACTGGGAGATACCATAGCCCAGTCACCATTTCCTGATGCTAGATTGCAGTTTACTCAGTTTTTGAAAGTAAAGAATGTTAATGATGCAGACATCAGCCCTCCTGTGCCAATCGGACCCATTGCCTAGGAGTGTTGTGAACAACTCTGATTTCCAAGCAGAGACGTAGCCCAGAAAGTTGTGTACTAGAAGGTGAAGCTGGGTTTTACCTGCTCATAAACAAAGTCAGAAGGAACTGTCCCAGTGATGTCGCTGTTGGGTAGGTTCTTTGGCTGGATTCTGGTAAGGATGAAGAGGATGCAGTGGTGACTGGAGCTAAGGAGACTGGGACAAGTTATTTGTGGTAGTGTGAGATAATAAAGAAGACAGCAAGGCAGGTTATTTGCAGTTGAATGAGTATAGGGGTGCTCAGTCCATGAGGAAAAATGCAGCTTACTTCAGAAACCTGCAACGAATTATTCTAAAATCTAAAATGGCAGTGGCTGGCACTGAGCTTTGGCTGGCAGGACATCACCCCAGGCTGTGAGTCCATATTGTTGCCATACGTCCTCCTGGCCACAACCCAACTTCCTTTTTTGTGGGCCACAGGAAAGAGCAATTGCTTCCCAGCCCCTTGGCCCACTTAAATCACATTGCTAAACAAAATTCTGCAGGTGAAAAATAAGGAGAAATGCGCAGTGGTGTGCTAAAAAGGATTCTGAATGCCTTGCAAGGCACAAAGCTATGTAGAGCTAAGATTTAATAGTGATTTTGTCATGCAGTTATGGCAGGTAATAACCTGGGATATGTGATATTTCTTGTATTCTTACCAGGCTCAAGTTTTCAAACATTTTCAAACAGATTTGTGAATCTTTGCTGACTTTACCAGTTCAGTTTAAGCCTCCTCTGTGAATCAGATAAAACCTTCATGCAATTTCTTCATACATGGAGTATGCTATACTTCTGTTTTAACTTAGAAGAATCAATGAGCCTCGATTTCACTGAAATAAGGTGTGTGTGGATGAGATATGCATCATTAACCCATGTGAATATACCGGATTATCATCAAGGAAAGAATTCCTCTTCTTTGGAGCTAATGTTAATGTTTTTACGTTAGTATTCATGAACAAATGAGTCCCTGAGTATTTTCCACTCTATCTCCAAGTGTGCTTTGTTCCTTACCAGAGCACACTTGAGACTCTCCTTTTCAGAGTGTTGCTCGTTTGTCTCAACAAGAAGCTCCCCCCTACACCAATCTGGGCAGATTTGCACAGGATATCTTGATTTCATCACTTCATTTCCCCCCTGTCTAGAAAGGCCATCTTTCTCACCTATGTCTTTCTGAAAAAAATGATTGCTGTCCCTACAGTAATTGCTGGGATTGCAGGAAAGCAATTATTCTAAACAGAATGCTTTAAGGTGATTGCTTTGAAGAGAAGCTTGCCTCATAAGCGTGCTTTCAAGAACAGATATGCGATGAGGAGAATAATTATTTTGAGAAATCTGAACCACTAACGATGACGATAGCTTGAGAAAAGCAGCCTTAAAAAAGCTGAGACCTGATCCTGCTGATGCTCAGGATTGGCATCTAGGCCTTCCCTTTCTAAAACACAGTCACTGTTGTTCAGGTGTGATAGCACCCAGATGTAAAAGCTAATACGATAGGAGAAATCTTTCTCCTTCACTGAGCCACTATCACTTGTAACCATAAAACCACATCTGAGACCAATTCACCAGCACTGATAATGAGAAAACCAATGTAGTTTTACCAATTAGTACTGATTTTATTTCATTAGAAAAATAGGTAGCATAGGGAAGATGAAACATTTTTGTTTCATACTGACCTTTTTCACATAACTAATGAAAAATCCTAATCTAAAGAGCACTTTAATGACAGCTACAATTTAATTAGTATAGAATAATAATTATTTATATTGCCATCAACGTAGTTCAGAGGAGATTACAGAAAAAAATAAATGGTACCAGGCTAGCTGGAGAACCTAACTGCACAGAATTTACTGGTAGGTTTGCTCATGAACACATGAAGACCTTGGTCCCTTTCTGCCCAATTGTGCTTACCACCACTGCTGTGAGCGTGCTTGGCCCTTGCTTTCCAGTAGGCAGCAATTGCTATCAGAACAATGTGAAGAGAAGCAGTTCCAGGATCTGAAACAATTTAAATCTATTATGAGTACTTCTCATCCCATGGGACAGGAGGAGAACAAACACAAAACACAGCACCTGATTTGCAACACCATTCTAGACACAAATGGTACTCATCACCCTTAATTAAAAACTTGTGCCTTCCCTTGCACAAGCTGATGAGGTGAGCTTTCCACCCAGGTGCAAAAGGAATGGGCTGCATGGCCCAATGGGATACAGGTGTGTGCATCTCCTGTCTGCAGAGCCTGTGTGCACTGTGTTTGCCTTCAAGCATTTGATTAACCACTAAGAAAGTAGAAAATTGTGTGCTATCTTTTTCCTCCCATAAAGAGCAGCTTTATGTATTCCTTCAGGACGCAGGAAAAGAGGAAAGAGGGATTGGAGTCCCCAGGAGAGGAGAGGAAGAAAGAGACAAAGCAGATGCATTCACACCTGCTCCTTGAGAAGCTCTGGCAAGAGCAGGGCTACTGTTTAAGATCCCTTCCAGCTATTCCAGCAAATAGCTTTGCTATCCTGAAAGAAGGATAACAGAAAAGTGTAAAATGTCAAAGTTATCTAGCACATTATCATTTTTTCCTAAATCGTTGAGATTTTTGAATTCTATCCTAACCAAATGCCATGTGAAACCTTAACTACACAACACGTGGGCAAATATGAATCTGGTAAGAACTGGTTTATTTACCTCTCATACAATGCATGCTTGTTCGTTTTTATGTTTCTTGATAGTGATACAGGGGGTTGTATTAGCTTGATCTCATAGGAAAGCCACAGAAGACCTACAAAATGATACATTATTGTTACGCTAGAATTATGGTTACTTTCTTCAGTATCAGTTCTGATGATCTTTGCAGTCCTTTCAACTCAGGTCATTCTATGATTTGATGAATGCAATAAAAGCCAAGGCACTAAGTAAACTTTTAGAAAAAAATCCACAATGGAAATTAAGTACAGTGTGCATTGTTGCAGCCAGAAGAAAGAGACCAAAAAGAATAACATACCGGGTAGTTCTTGACATTAGGAGACTTCGAAGAAGCAAGATTTTGGATATGAGATGTTGTCATCTCTAATTTCCTTCTTTATTTTTCTACTTTTTTCTCATGCAGCCACAAAAAATAGCTTAATGCAGCTAATAGCCATATTGCCACTCAGCTGTGCAGACTGTGTCAGTCTTTCTTTTGGAGCTCAGTACAGAAAACAGTTCAGGTCTATCCAGGTTTTCCCTGCATGTGATCCATTCTCC